GCTGACTTCCTTGAATAAGACGCCCTTCAATTTTTAGGGTAAGGATTTTAGAAAAAAATATTGTCTTATAGTCGGAAAAATACGGTAGATATATAACATGATATAGTTGCCACATATCATCACTACTATAGTTCTTGCAAATCTGTATTGAGGTTGGAGGTAGAGGTGCCTTGGAGTCAACCCTGATTTCTGGCAACTTCATGGATAGGTCCATACAGTTTTCTTTGCAACACTGTGGAAGTGGTTTGCCACTACCTTTTTCGAGGATATATTTCAATTTCTCAGTCTCAGAACTAAAACAAAACATAACTAGAATTCAGGTCTCCCTGGTCCTAGTCTACCATTTTAACTACTACACCAAGCTGGCTCTCTTATATTGAAAATAATTAACTGTAAAGCTTCAATTTGAATATTGGCAAAAATCAGTGTTTTGTAATGCATTTTGATTGATTGATTGATTGATTGATTGATTGATCGATCGATTATGTACCATCAAGTTCGTGTTGACTCTTAACAACCATATAGATAAATTTCCTTCAGGAGGATCTGTCTCCAAACTGGTCCTTCAGGATTTCCTAAGCTGTACCCATCATCGCTGTAATTGAGTCCATCCACCTTGCTGCTGGTTATTCTCTTCTTCTCTTTCCTTCCATTTTTCCCAGCATCATAGACCTCTCCAGAGAGGTAGGTCTTCACATAATATGTCAAAAGTAGGTTAATTTGAGCCTGATCATTTGTTGCTCAAGTGAGAACTCTGGACTTTGATAATCCATTTCTTTGTTTCCTTGGCTCTCCATGGTATTTTCAGGAGTCTTCTCTGACAGCAAACTTCAAAAGTGTTGAAACTATTTCTATCCTGTTTCTTTTAACTCCAATTTTTGTGGTAAAACTGTGGCTGTGTCTTCCTTTTTCTGGTCCACTGGTGGATGGATCAACTGGAAGGTATCAGGTAAAAGGGAGCTCATACAAAAGGCCTATCAGTGGAAACTACACATCCTCAAAGTTCTGCCCATGGAAAGGAAGACAACTGGTGCTTGCTTTTCCTGCCTGCTTGGGGAGAATGAAGGAGGAGGGGAATCCACCAATCAGGAGTCGAACAGCTTCAGACTGCAGTGCAGAACAGCTCAAAGCATTCTGGGCAAGGCACTTCCAAATGCCTCTTCGGTTTATTATCCCCATTGGCACTTTCTCCATAGGTACTACCCAGACCTGTGCAGCACTTTGAATTCAAAAGTGAGAAGTTGGAAGTGCTTCTTGGATTCACCAAATATGTACTTTCCAGGGACTGCACAGCTGCCCTAGTATTTGTGTACTACTCACTGCATTCTAATTCATGATTATCTACCCAGACTAGTAAGCTGGTTCTCCAGGATCTCAGAAAGATTCTCGCCCCTCCCCACTCCCCCAGTCCTATCTGGAAATAACTCAGTTGTCAAGTATTTTGTGCCACTGCCAAGTTCAGCTTCAGCATGAAGAAATAAAATAGAGCGTATATCTGAAAGGAAGTTTTCCCCAAAATGATTTAACTTTTACGATGGTAGATTTACTAAGGATGTAGCAATAGAGGCAAATCAGCTTATTCTGACCAATCTTTGGAGTGGGTGGAGAGAGATGATCCTAAATTCAGGGTTATCTTACTTTGGGGCAAATGAGGTATATCAAGGCATGGCTGAGATGGAAGAACTTGAAGAAACTGTTCTAAAAGGAAGGGCATCAAATGCTGGGGGCATGAATAGGAGCCCAGCAACAGCAGAGAATTAGCCTGCCATCAGGGAGTCCTGAAATGCAGTAGCTGTGTCTCAGGAGATGTGGAGTTACTCTCCATAGCTCTCAAGGATATAAGAAGATCCCATGGATGAAGGCTACAGAGGGAACGATGAGGAATGTCCCGACTGTGAAAACTGCTGAGCAGTGGAAGAGCCTCCCTGCAGGAATTGTGGGTGCTCCCTCACTGGAAGTTCTTAAGCCAAAGTTGAGCAACTATATGTCTGGAATGGCATGAGGATCCTTGTCCTGGGCAAGGGTTGGATTCAAAGGCCTCCAAGGTCCCTTCCAACCTGATCATGCTAGGTGAGATCTCTTTGTTGTGGCTTGCTTGTTGAAATGTAGCCTCCGCTGCAGATGGTGGCCTACAAAGTGTGTCAATTTTGAACAACGTCCACAGTCCATTTTGCAGAGATCACTTTAGGAAGAACTTTCAGAGGCTCTTCTACCAGCTTATACAATAATGAAATTTAGATGTGCCAAGGCGGGAAGTTTACCTTATAAAATAAATTCAGGCCCCAGTGGCCTGTTGGTTCTATTATTTTGGTTTCTGCTTCTGCAAAGAAAGTCCCCATCCTCTTTTGAATGTTACCGTTCCACTCTCCCTTTTTCCCCCAAATGGCTTTTTGCATAGAAAGGATTTCTATTTAAAGCCAAAACGTGCAGAACTTGTTCAAAGTCTCTTGCCAAAGAGCTCGCTGGGACGGTAGCCAGAAAGCTTAGCCAAAAATGAGATGATGCTGGTGGTTTTGCTCTTCATGTAAATGAGAGATTAGAAAACCTGCAAGGAGACCTTGTGGAAAAAGGTAGGAGGGGAGAGTGTTGGCAGAGCTTTTAGAGTACCTCTGTATGGGAATTTATTTTGTAAATTCTTTTTTTTTTAAGCATGCAAGTGGTTTTTTTTAAAGCATGAATGTGTTTCTGTCTGAATAAGGTTATTTAGGTAGGTGTTAAGTGGTGAATGTTTCTGGCTATTTGCAAGATTTTTCAGAGGTCCAGGAAAATGCAGGGAACCTGCTTGAGCAGCCGACTGTTAAATTACATCAGGCGCCACCTTGCCAAGATTGAATCTGCCCACTTGGCAAGAACATCCGGCTCTGAATTCCCCCTGACCCCAACCAGGGGAAATGTGGGGGACATGGATTAAAAGGCGAACGTTTCATTGGTCGTCCCCACATGATGGAACTTTTTGCCCCAGGAGGTTCGTGCAGTCACTTCCCTCAGAGTGTTTTGGGAGGGCGTTAAAACAATTCCCTTACCATGTTTTCAGCCTGAATTGATTGCCTTGTGCTGCCCATCTTGGTGGTGGGGTATTTTTTTCCTATTATGGTTTTTGTTTTGTTGCTTTCCCCCCCTTTCTGTATTTGGATGAGAGGAGGAGGAGGAGGAGGAGGAACGGGGCCCAGGCTGCCCAGGCTCTGTGAATGAATAAATAAGCCTGAGGCTTATGAAAGCTCCCACTGCAGCTGTTCAGATCCATTCTGTCTAAAGAGAGAGAATTTGAGTCATATTTGAAACTTGAACCAGAACTGATTCTACAATGCTGAAACTAAGGCAAAAGGTTGAGTCATATTCTGACTATTACAGTCCTCATCCTGCCATTCTCCTACATTCCCACCGTGCAGGATGCCTGATACACTGGGAGGCTACAATTCATACAACACACAAAAGACTCTGGGGTCAGGGGCCAAGCCCAAAGAGTACCTGTTACCTGGGTTTGTGCAACACTGTAGCCAAAATGTGGTTGGTTACTTTGAAACTCAATGACTTATGCTAACCCAGGGTATTCAGTAAACTATTGTTCAGCACACCAGGGGCAGGAGACCATGTGGGCACTGGGAGAAAAGGCTACTCTTTCAGCTTGGAGATACATTTACATCCCACATGGCAGGTGCCTCACTGAAACTGCAAGGTGTCTGTGCTTACTTCTCTGCAGTTTGCTGTCCCAGTTCCCAGTCAATCCCGTGTCATCCTCTCTGGCAAGGAAGGACAAAGGGGAGGCCAGGGTGGGTCAGCCCACAGGGGGATTTGTTCTGGGAGTTCTAGTTGTTGCTATATCTCCAGGCCAGCCAAAATACAACTGAGAAGCGACAAATCTTTAAAAAAAAGGGAAGCAATTCTTTCTGTTTGGAAATTATAGCTTGACAACCACTCATCATACCTTAGGTAGTTCCCAGGTTAAGAACACCCAGTTTAAGAACAACCCATAGTTAAGAACAGAACCTACTGTAGCAAAATGTGAGTTAAATACACAATGGTTCAAGTTAAATGCATAATACTCCTTATACAGTATTATACAATAATACTGTTCTGGCTTGCATATAGTTTCAACTTAAGGACAGACCTTGGGAATGGAACTCGTTCTTAAACTGAGGACTACCTGTACTGTGAACCTTACCAAGGATGAAATTATGTATCTTATCTGTGTTTTCCACATATATTTCCTAAAAAGTATTAATGGAAAGGCCGATTGGCATTTATAGCAGAAGTCATTTCATGTAATAGTGCCATCATGTTACAATTAAGAGTTTTGAATTATTAAAGCTTCTTATTAACAGCGATGAGGTTGAAGCTGGCTGCCCTCTCTTCTCCTTAACCAATGTAAATGATATTGGCTCCCACTCAGCCAGTTTAAACTCAGCAAATCTGCATCTCTCCAGGACACCTGTACAACTTCCATAATTGACCCACAAAGGCCTGTTATATGTTGGGCATTGAAGTGAGATGGGTGTGTGTGTGTGTGTGTGAGAGAGAGAGAGAGAGAGAGAGA